GAAGAGCGATGGTAAGGGGAGAAAAAAGCTCACTGTTAGAATTATTGCAGTATAGTGTGGGAAAGCACATCATACTTAATGTGAAGCATGGCAAAGGACCAGTCATGCTGTGGTCCTGTTTCTCTTCCAAAGGCTGTAGGAACCTTGTTAAAGTGTATTTATTCTAAATCTCTTTGGAAAAAAATAAGGATATTTTCTACAAAATCTATTTGTCCTTGCTAAGTAACACTAAAAATTATTATGCTAAAATCTTTCAGCATGAGGATTATCCAAAATTTCTGACCAAATCAAAACAGAAATTGCTTAACAGACAAAATCAGTCTAATTTAAATTGCCTTTGGGATTAATAAAGTAGTTCTGAATTTGAATTTCATGGCAACTTCAGCCCCCAGGCATGAATACAGTTGAAAATAGAAGACTAAGCGCTTTCCCGTTGGCAAAAAGAGGTTAATAAGTGTAACATCAGTGTTTTTGTTCCAAAAAAATAATAATTTGAGAAGTTTTAACTACACTAAAGATGATTTATCAAAAGATTACGTTAAAGGCTTTTCACAAGTATTAAACAGGAGAATCAACAAGTGTAGAAGGAACTCTGATTTCAACAATGAGGCTGCATCACAAAATACAGTATTCAACCAAACAACAAAATACTGAGAAAGTGTTTATAAGGTCCCATCTGTTGTGTTTTGATTAAACTAGAATTTGTCATCTAAAAGGCACTTCATAAGTTACACCATACAGTCACAATATGCAGGGGTTTCAATAAAAACCCTCAGTTTAGTGCACAATACCACTGCTGTACTTTCTGTGGACAGCAAATTCTCCAACATAATAATAATAATAATAATAATAATAATAATAATAATAATAATAATAATAAATCGTTACTGAGGTAAAAAAAACATAATTTGACAGAGTTATACAAGTACTGGACTAATCAGTGTATTTTCAGACTGTATAAGTACATAAGAGCCACTATGGTACAAGAAAATACTCCTGCAGAGTTCATCTCTCTAATATTAGAGCAATGGGGGACGTATACCCTGTAGTTACCATAAAAGACACCCTGTCTTTTAGTGAAAGTGTTGCTTTCTTTATGCTATTTTCACTTGGAGCAAATTTAACATGAGGCTACAAAGCTATTGGGAAAGTAATGCCATGATAATCTATGCATAAGTTAAAGAGCTACCCTTGTTTTCAGAGCTAAAATTGCAGACGGCGTTAAAACATCAGAAATTTGTATGCATGTTTTTACATGTACATGCATACACACATGCACCACATGAACACATTCCACACTGTGATCAAGACATGGACAAAAGAACTTCCTCATAGCATTACATTGAGTTAACGTATTGTACTCCACAGACTGTGCTCTTGAGATTGTGAAAATAAAATTGACACGACGAAGCATTTTTGCCCATAGATCAGAGGTTGCAAGGTGTACATGTGTGGGCGTCTGTGTATATACATCTATGTAAAACCTTGCAAGGTTTCCTAACCATCAACCAATAAGAAAGACAACTATAAGTATGATAAAAAAGGTGTTTTTTTTTGTGTGACCTACTTTCAAAAAAATTATGCCCTGTGCAGGGACAAATGTGCAGCTAAGTGAGTCAGGCATTATGTTTGCCTCAGATGTTTTCATGAACTTATTTTGTCTATAAAAATAGATATAGACTATTACCAGCCTTGTTCCCCGGCGAATAACTGAGAGGCACATGTTTTGAGCTCTGATGCTACAAAGAGGTCAATCGGCCGTCTTGAGTTTGATATACATCTCTACATGTGACTGCCTTCATTGGCTGAGTGGTTTGTTAGTTGGTGGTTGGATACTGACCGTTGCGTTGGAATTGGCTGCAGTAGTCCTAGCTTTGCTTTCTACCCTGAAGGAGGAGGAGTTCAGGGAACTCCTCTTGAGAGCTTTATTGGCCAGCAGGCTGCAGGTCTTCCTGTACTGGTAGCGCAGCAGTGAATAGACAAACGGGTCGCTGGCTGCCTTGCTGTAGGCCAGGCATTTGGAGAAGACACCCCAGTGAGGGTTGATGGGTCCTGGGGAGAAGAGCTCTACAATTCTACAGCAAAAAAAGTAAAAAAATAAAATAAAATAAAAAAGGATAGAGAAGTCACAAAATTCTTGTGTAAGTACTCGTACCCTTTGAACTTTTTGTATTTTGTCATGTTACACACACAAATTATAATGTATTTATTGTAATTTCAGGTCAAAGAGCAAATTGAAGGAAGTAATTGTGACGTGTAGGTAAAAATAATACAAGGTTTTCAAATGTGTGATAAAACTTTGTTGTTGGCACGTATTTGTATTTAACCCCCTATGCTCTAAACCCCTAAACAAAAGTAAGTCTTTACTAATTACTAAGCGAAGCAAAGCAGACGTGTGCAGTTCAATTTTATTTTAAGTTTAGGTCTCATCACCATAAATAAAGCTGCTCTGTGAAGTCCTCAGTAATTTCATAAGGAGCACTAAAAACCGAGTAACTTCATTAAGACCTGGGAACACAACGGACATGTCAGGAATGCATTTGTGCAGAAGTTTAAAACAGGCTTACGTCCGTTTTAATCTTTGGACTGAGCTTTGTTCGGGCCATCTCCAATGGCACAACACCAAACCTACCAAAACTTGACCAAGAAATCTGGCAAATTTTGTCTCTATCTCTGTGGTAGAGTAAGAAGAAGGATGTCATTGTTGAGAGAAAGCCATGAGAAATCCCCACTGCAGCTTTCTACAGTCATTCAGAGGACACAGCAAACACAGGGAAGGAAAGGGCTCTGGTCAGAGACCAAAATGAAATGTTAACATGTAAAACTCATCCCTTAACATACAGCTACTGCAACAATAAAATGACTTCATATGCATTTGCTAGAGTCTAGTCCAAGTTTAGACCTAAATATAATAAAAACATGTGCACAATCCTTTGGAGATACATTAAAGTTTGTGGCTGCAACACGACAGCATGTGGAAAAGTCTAGGAGTTATACATACTTTTACAACTCAATGTAGACTCCGAGAGGCAAAATGCACAAAGAAGAAGAAATACACCGGTAGAAATTCATAAGAAATATTGTGTCATTGCTTCACTTCAGAAGTTGACTTTGTTTTTTCCTGGAGTCACTGATAATTAAAATTAGCTGTTGTCGTAAATCAGTTTAAGCCTGTCAAACCACTGCACTCCAGTGGTTTGACCAGAGTGCAAAGCACTGACCGTGGTGGTCAAACATCATTATGTTTCTCATCTCTTCTGGAGGAGAAACATAATGACAAGGATTATGTTTCTCATCCTTTGCAAACTGGAACATAATGAAGATGTGACAGCCTAAATGTTTTAAATGTCACTGGAAAGTCTGAAAGTGATAATTCTACTGATTGTAACTCAGCCAGGAAGTCTACTTTATTTCATTTAGTTTTCTCCGGATATGAGCTCTTTAACATCCCTGCTGATGTTGTGTATTAGAAATGCATTTTAACTTCTGTGCCTCGGAAAGAGGTTCAGATGTTCAATAAGGACGTGCATGCAAAAAACACCCACGCAGTCACCCACTCAAAATCCTCCCTGTAAAGCAGCAGAGATTTCAGCTCACCTTGTAATGACGTAAGGTGTGAAACAGACCACAAATGTGCCGATAAATGTGCTGATCTTCTTGGTGGCCCTCTGCCTCCTGCGCTTCTGCTCCTCCAGGCATTTCTGGCGAACACTGCCAAGGCAACACAGGCACCACTTCAAGAGCATGACAAGAGACATGCAGACATGATGGAGGAAGTTTAAACAGAAAAAAAAAAATACTTGGAACTGACACAAGCACAGCAGCTGTCTTTGCCCTGCATTTTCTGATAACATTTTTCCTACTCGTCTCATCCTTTTGGTGAACTGAAAAAAAACAAACACTTGAGCTTAGCTTAAATATACATATTCTCCAGGAATCCATACAGTTATGAATAATTTGTCAATAGTTTTTTTTTAAATACACAGTTGAAGTCAAAATCGACTGAACTAAGATTTGCATAAACTATATGTTAAAGTTATATAAATTCAGATGTTATCATTATTTATTTATTTATTTCATATATCACATGCTGCATTTTATTTAAACTGACCTTGTGATTCATTAGTTAAACTCAAGCACCTGATTGGTTAACCTGCACAGCAACTTCACCGAAGACCAATCACCTTCTTTATAGCATTTTAACCCGAAACACAGACTCTGATGCGAAAGGCTAAGATAAAATAGATTAATGCCAGGCTGTAATGACTGATTAGCTTTGATGAGGGTAATTTGTCACTCTGTCCAGGGTGGCACGACCTGTGGGGTTAAAAAAATATTACGTATTATTTTATGATTTAACTGGGAATCACTGTTAAAGTTAGCTGTTGGAGTTTAATTCAGCATAATACTTAGACTGCAGCTCTGCAAATATACAAGTCAGAGGATTTTCAGTGCTTTCGTTGTATTAGAAGCACTTTAGAGTGACTGAATGGATCATTGCACAGACATCACAGATAATTTGGAAACACCATGAAAACAATTCGGGCTAAAACATTCTTAAAACTGGACCTGAATGAATACCTCTATTATTCAAATTCAGTTAATATAAGATTAACTCTTAATGCTTCGGTTAAGTTGTAAGGTTTCCCTTTCTATTCTTTTCTCTCTTTTTTTGCAGAAAGAGCTTCTCTGGGGAGAGGACTTGTGTTTGGTTGTTAGGCTCACTCAGGTTGAGACTTAATGAACTGCATATGGCTGTCACACAGAACAAGAAAATAATAGATAGATAGATAGATAGATAGATAGATAGATAGATAGATAGATAGATAGATAGATAGATAGATAGATAGATAGATAGATAGATATTTCTTTGTATTTCTACCTGGGGTGAATATCCACCAGCAGCACCAACGTCTGCATCGTGATCACGTCGATGCGCTTGCAGTGCGACCTTGCAACTTTTAGCACTTTCAGATAGGTTACGCACATCACGATCAGCGTGAGGAGGAATGTGAGACAATGCAAAGCCACGGTGAAAACAATGTACTGTTTCCCAGCCGCCTTTGCCCGGACGCTGCAGAGGGTGCAAGACGCGTAAAGGTGGTTGTACCCGAGCCAGGAGCGGCAGGTGGCCACCGCGGAGAAGCACATCGAGTGTATCCAGGTGTACGCCAGCGCCAGTACCGCATCCCGGTGGCGTATTCGCGAGTGATAGCTCAGCGGGAACACCACCGCCACCCACCTATCGATGCTGAGCGCTGCCATGCTGAGCATTGAGTTCGTGGTGAGGAAAGTGTCGAGGAAACCCACGATCTGGCAGAAGCCGCTGCCTCCGGGGTGCCCCGAAGTGACGAGCCCGACCAAAGTTAGAGGCATGTTGGACACGCTCTGCAACAGGTTGCAGAGCGACAAGTTGAGGATGAAGAGAGCGGGCACCTGCTTGCGGATCTCCGGGTTGTACAGAAAACAGATCAGCACGACGACGTTGGAGAGCAGCGACACGACGATAATCCCCAAAATCAGCAGAGAAGCAACTACGTCCGCTGCGTCCATGGTGCCTCCGCCTGAATATCCACACTTGGAGAGAGCGCATCCGCAATCTTCATGCAAACTGCCACAAGTCACGACGGTCAGGAGTCCCCAGTCATGCTTAACGTCTCCAAGATATAAATGTCTCAAATCGCTCAGTCTTTCCAGCCCCGTTAACTATCTGACCAGTTGCTCGATCTGGTCATGTGAGAGAATCTGGATGCGCATTTCACATGAACGGGGTCAGAACTGAAGGGCTTTCTCCTTGACGCGCTGCGGTAGTTTCAACCCAGAGCATCCCGCTGCTGGAATCACATTTCATGTCTGTCTTGCTGCGCAATTGCGCATAATGAGAGGCAAACTTAAAAAGAGCGCAAAGGGATTCTGTCTTGAGCTTTGCAGACTTTTTAATATCCCACTATTTTCCCTCGCGGAGGTGTTCCAAACTGCTGGTGCACCCCTGCTCAAACGAAGCTTTCGTAGAGTAAAAATAGAAATACGACGCACGGTGACGTCACTGTCGATTAGGGTGAGGTCATGCGCGTCACGTTGAACTTTGCTTTGCTTTGCTGCTTTCGCAGGGGAAGTTTTCGAGAATTAAATGTTTGACAAATTAGACTGAGTGAAATCAACTCATCAGCGTCACACTGGTTTATTTAAAAAAGCAGCACATGGACAGTATATAACTATGGGATATTTCATTAAAGCACATGATGCATCACATTAGAGGAAAAAAAACACATGCATTCCTCCTAAAAAGAAATAAAAAGTTAAAACAGAAAAACAAAAACAGAAAAAGTGATACAATTATCACTTTTTTATAATTGCAATTATCACAATTGCAATTGTCACAGATGCAATTATACAATGCTTAACTGGAAAAAGAACATTTTCAATCAGGGTTTCTTTCTTCCCTGTAATAATATATATTTTTTCTAAATCAGAAATACTTAAATTTTAATTTTGCACATCACAGTCATTTTTATGATCCCCCTTCAGGAATGAAAAAGTTCTGAGAGACCAAAAACAACAAAACTTTAAAATATTTTCATCTAGAATTTTGCTCATCTTGTACATAACTTTTACAGTTTACCGAAAAAGGAAATTTAATCAAACTTAGACTATGGGTCTTTAAAAATGGTTTTCCTGCCTTTTTATATTTATTATTTTATTTTATTTTTTTCACATTTCTAATTTTCAGGGAGCTAGTAACACTGAAACAGATCACTGGTCTGTGGTGACTTCAGGGACCAAAGAAGCTCTTTTCTGACTACTGGTCTATATAAGCCCAATAACATTTGTCTTACAGACCACTAAAGTCTTTCTATTTACAAACTGGACGCCAGTGAAGTGATTTATGAACAGCTGTTATACTACAGTGAAATTTCCCACTCGTAGAAGTTTGCATATCGAACCTTTTCCACATCATACATGTTAAAGTTACAAACTTCGAGGAGTTTTTCTCTGATAGGCCAACACAAAGTAGCAAAGTTGTGAAGTTAAAGAAAAGGGATGCGTGTTTTCTTTTTTTTAAATGAAGAGTGAGGTGTGTATGTGTTTCTCCCCTTGCATTCTGCTTATCTGAATAAAACCCAACGCTCACTTGTCTATTTTTTGTGCTCTCCATAAATCTGGTCTTCATAGAAGAGCGATCCAAATAAAACAATTGTTGAAAGAATGATATAAAAAAGTTGCGTTTTTAGTTTGTCACAGGCCACAGTGGAAGTAATAAACACGCAGAGGAAGATCAGAACATACTTGAACAGTATAATCCTGCGGGATTTTATGTTTTCTTCGGGTGTTAGCACGTTGGTCAGGGTAGGAAGAGAATCTTCGAGGCTGCAAACAACTCCAGATCTTTCAGCAGGACCATCGCAAACATACAAGGGATGGTTTTAGATCATGACGTGAAGCATGTTAATCGATATAAGAAATACAATAGTACAAGATTTGCTTGAGAAAACGATGAATCGCCTCTCTCCAGTGGTTCCTCCTCCTCCTCCCCGTCCCAGTGGTGTGTTCTGTGAAGCCACTAGGGTGTGAATACTACTGCCATTTCCTATATTACTGGTGCTGGTCATGATTTTAGCAGTGTTTTTTATTTTTATTTTTGTTTAGATAAGAGTCAGCTGTCAGGTTTTATTTTTGTTACTGTCTGGATGCTTGTATAAACACAAACAGAAAAAAAAAAAATCTTGTTGGCTGAATCCACAAATATAGATTGTGCTTCTGTGTCCCACTTAGATAGACACCTTGAGATTGTAGATGTTTTTTCAGGTGCTGATAGGATGGAAGAACAAAGACTCGGCAGTGAATTTTACAGTCCTGAGTGACATTTGGAAAGGAACCAGTTCAGCTAGACTGCGCGCACACACACACACACACAACACAGTATTAATCCACAGTTCAGCGGTTCCACACTGTCTGGCATTCAATAGAACATGCTGTCTGTAATACTTCAGAGGGATATTGTCAACAGAGTGAGTCAAGTGGTTTTATTACCTCAGGAGCAAAATGTATCTGTTTTCGTGTGCTGTTTTTAGAGAGGACTGACTGACATAAAGACACTTGATATGAATATTTTATCTTTTAGTCTGAATGACTGTCAAAGAGTGATCAGAATATTTGATTTGAGGGTGAATTATTTCAGCCAGTCACTTCAATTGTGAGAGATGCTGTCATGTATTTATGCTTTAGTAGAATGAAGCTACTGTGCAGCATGTTACCCATGGCGATTTTTCACAGTTTTGAGTCTGATTCAGTGACAGTAAATTAAAAATGTAATCCAATATCTTCTGAACAAGAATGTTCTAATTTAACCCTTTGTGTTACTTTTCTGCATTAACTATGTTGTATTATTGTGGAATTGTAGTCATTTTCCTACTGTTCATTTAAATCCTTATGCTTGACTAGAAATGGAAATCTAGCAGTGCATCAGTTACGCCAAGATTTTTTTTCACCACTGTTTTTCTGTTGTTTTATTATAATTTGAGCAATGCCTGTGTCATATCTGGAGTTTATTGGTAAAATATCTTAGACTAGACGGCTAAATGGTTCATAAAGTGAAAAATGATCCAAGCCACCTCAACAAACTTGCAAAACTAAGCATTTCCGTACATCTATGACAATAATAATCAGTTTCTTTTCTCTCACTTTATTGGAGTTCAATATGGAGCCCTTTGAAAGTTTTAATTAACACATTCACAGGGACTTTCGAAGCCAGGACGGAAGTTAAAATGACTCATTTGCAAAAAACTCATTTAACTTCAGTTTTCATGAGGAAAATTAAAAGTCCTGATGTGATGAATAGCACTTAATTGAAATAAATTTGTGCCAATGTCTCACTACATGATTGGAGAAACTGTTCTATTTGTTAGACCGGCTCTCACACGCGCATCTGTCTTACATCCCATTACTAACAAGGAATGATGAATTGCCTGTGACGGGGCTTGTAAGGGGCTCGGAGGATTTTTAATTAATTCCACAGAGGGAAATTTCTCACTTCTGCCCTTTCTACTTAGCAAAGGAACAGAAGGTGAACCTACATTCTATTTTCTTTAACGCAGAATTAATTCTCTGCTGTGCTTCCCCGACCAGGATAAAGTTCAGCTTCATTTTCTTACAGACTGTGAGTTAATGAGGTGAGGGGCTTCAGCTACACAAGGCTGCACAAACAGTTCCCTCAAAGTCTCCGAGTACACTTGTTATATGCCGAATACATTTTCAAACGCACAGTGAGGTAAACGCCTTGCTTTCACTCGACATTTAAATTTTTTTTGGAGCGTTTTTACATGAAGTACTAAGTGAATCAATGCTCCCAATTATTTGCTTGTTAACCAAGATGTCTCCTGTTCCACTTTAAATCGCCGCTTCTTAAACCTGAATGTAAAATGATGGGAGAGAAACTTGCCAGTGCAACAAATTTCAGCTCTGCAACGTGCGCTCTCAGTTTTTTTCAGTCCTGTTTAGAGTTATGGTCAAAGCTTCCTTCATCTCCTAGTTGGTTTATTTTGACAGACATTGAGTGATTTTAAATTTGAATTTTATTTTTGATCGACTTCTCTCTAAAAGGTTGTCTCAGTGCTCCCTCCAGATCAACTTTGGCTGCTACTCCACGGCCCTTTTTTGCACAATTATCTGCTTTGATATATTCTCTTGTAATGAGAGCAGCATCGCAGCGCACAAGCTAGACTGAAGCAACTCCTTGTAAATATATATATTTTTAAATTAGGGTGTGAATATGTATCTTGATCATGATGTTAGATGTAATGATGACGTGGAATTTTTGTACTATAATTTCTTCTGGAAATTAAACATTTTGATTTGGATTAAAAGTCTTTTTTTTTTTAAAAAGAAACAAGCAAGATAATACATTTGACATAAATGACGTAAGATATAAAATTCAGTTATCTATGAAAATGTGCAAATATAATTCAATAAAAAGTACAGACTTAGCATTGGCTGTCTGGTCCTAGAGGCACAACAACAAAAAAAATATTTGCTTGACTGCAGCCCAAACCGCATCTTGCCCAAGTTCAGAAACTGTCTATTCCTTTTATTCTTTGTTTGCTTGTGCATGGGCAACTTTTACCTCTGTGGAAAGAGCCGTATGGCTTGTTTATGCTATGAGTCATGCATTTAAATATAATTGGGTGATTCAGAGGGAGCAAGAGATCACTCATAAACATGCAAGTGTGTTTTGCAATCTGAGTTCTCAGGGCAATGGTTTTCATTATAAACACAAAGTCCACAAAAGGTTACGTACTTGAAACTATGAATGCTTAATTTATTCTGTTTGTCACTTTGTGACAAACTCAAATCTCAAAATGTTCAACTACTTTAGGGAAATGTCTTGTCTAGCATTGATCTGTGGAAGCGTGGACTGTATGTTGAACTTAAATACGATTCTTCCAGTTGTGTTTGTTGTAGACATCCCATAAATCCCACATGTCATCCTGATAAGTCAACATGTTTATCAGTTTGTGAGGCTCTTCAGTACATTCATTCATCATTTTGGACTTTGTAAGAGTGAATCAAAAAAATGGACTTATTTAGATGATATCATCTGGTTTCAGGTCCAAATGGGCATTCTTGCTTGTTTACAGCTTTGCATGTCCTGTTTAAAGTGCATTACGTTGCCTCCTTAAAACAAAGAGGAAATTACAGCACCTACCGTACCACCTAAATACAACAGTCCTCTTGGGTTTGTATCAAAGCTCCAAAATTGAAATAATGAATTTAATCCAATAAATAAGGCACACTCAACTTTATTTATATGCATTCTTGTTCATTTCTAATAAAAACACTCTGTGGTTAGAGTCACTTTAGAATGTGAGTTAGAAAACTCAGAAGTCTGCATCAAGTTATTTACTTTACAGCAATTCCCCTTCCAAATAAGCATGTGGTGACAGTGAATAGCTGACGGCCAAAATTACAGCAACTAAATACAATGTTGGGAAAAAAGTGTTAATTGATAAAA